AAGGGTCACAACTTTTACTTTCTGGATTTATAATTTTTGTTTTGTTTGTTTTTATCAGAAATTCACCTTTTTTAGATTTGTAACAGCGAATTAGTTGAGATTCGGCAGACCAATGGAAATCGGTTTAATGTGTACGGCGTATTCCACTATATTGCAGTATATAGCTGTATTGTTCAGTCGAAGCCTGATATGCTGGCCTGAGCTGGTGCCCGCATCTATTAAGTAGTTCCCAAAATAACGCGTCCGTCTCGCAAAAAGTCGCTGAAGTTACTGAAAAGAGCAAGTTTTGCGAACTTGCGAGAAGCCACCTTTTGCGAGCTTTGCAAGCACAAGAGAGCCAGAGAGCGCGAGTGCTGGCCAAACGGAGAGAGAGAGAGAGAGAGAGAGAGAGAGAGAGAGAGAGAGAGAGAGAGTGAAACGGAGCGAATGAACGAACCAAGCTTTGTAGCGCAGTGTTGCAGTGTATGTGTGTGTGTGCATGGAGCAACTGTGTTTTTATTGAATAAACGACGACACGAAAAACCGTAAAGTTACTTGACTTTTTTTATTAAGCTCGTAACACGGACGCGTACGTTAAAGATTTTGCAAACAAAAGCGAAGCACTGATCGTCTTTTTATTGGGCGGCAAAGCTTCGCAAGGGTTGCCACACTTTTCAAAGTAGTGCATAAAAAAGTTGTGCAGGTCATAAATCGTTAACGTACTTTTTCGTGAGCTGAATTAACTTTTCCACATTTCAAGGGATTTTAATTGTATTTCGAAATCACAAAGAGCTGAAGAAACTTAGTGTATTTGACAGTCGAACAGTCTCCACTTTAAGATTCATATTGGAAATGGGTGCGTGCACTGATTGATGATCGTGGCGCCTATATAATGCCCGCCGAGTCTGAAACTGAATTGCGTTTGGCTTTTAGCACTTATCGCAGCAATAACAAATTGAATGTAGTCTCCGGCCGGAGATTCTATAGAGGATATGCGGGCAAGTACCATAAATAAAGTAAAGAAATGATGAATCAGTAAAAGGTCAAATCATGGCCAGCACTCGCTGACATTCGAGCTAAAAGCAGAGTAGTACTCTAATCCAATCACGGATCATGGATGTGCCATTAGACGATCCAATCTGAAGTCAAATGAGCTTTTGGCTTTTATAGCACACACATTTTTTTTTCATATTTTTATTATAGAGAGCGCGCTTGTTTCCGATCAAGATCAATAAAATGACATAAGCTCGACTAGAAAACAAAACGCAAACGAGAAAGTGCAAAACACGGGAAGATGAGAGATACATATCTGTATCTGTGTGTATGTGTGTGTATGTGTGTGTGTGTGTGTGTGTGTCAAATGCGCAGTGCAAAAATTGACAAAAATATATATGTACATAGAGAGAGAAATAAATAGAAGGCAACTACAGTTCGTCAGTTCGTGTGTCATCAGCAGACAGACAGACAGACAGACAGACAGACAGCACGCAGAACACAAAATTCAATTATAAGTGCCACAATTTATAAACAGTCGACTGCCCCACACAGAGCAAGTGCTCCGAGGTAGGGCATCGGGGATTCGGGGTGGTGGGTGTGGGTTTGACATTGAGTGCTGAGAGATGAATGACAGGTACACGAAAGTGATTTAGTTCTAAGTGCTTCGAATGCGCCCTTTGAAATTGCTATGAATGCTCGCTTCGATGGATTAAATTATAAACAAGAGGCTCTAGTCGGGAGTTCTCGACTAGGGAATACCCTGAACCCTCTTCGAGCTGCAACAAATGCAGCTGGTGCTATTCTTCTTCAACTTCTGTGTTTCTTAAACGATCTTGATCAAATTTTCTACAGTAGATCTTATTGTGCTATACAATATTCGTATATTTGAAAAATGACAATTGCAATAAAAATTGTGGCTTCAATTGGCGGGTAGTTGCAATTGCTTTATTTAATTGATTTATAGCTAGGTTGTGTAGGCGGGGGCGACTTTTATCGATTATATAGAATATCTGAAACAAACTCTTTCTGCACGGGCAGACCTTTCCCTTTTTAAGTCTCTCTCTCCTCGCGTTACTGCCTTTTATCCATTTTAAATGAGTTCAGGGTATAAAAACACCTAAGGACCGCTCAAAACATTTTTTAATTTACCAAGGTCAAATAGTTCATATAAACTAAAGAGTATTGTTTAAAATAAAGGGTATATTGCTTTTGTAGTTAAAGAGGAGGCCTTTCTGACGCCACATCTGTCAAAATTATAAGAGCTTGCGACAACTTTCCAGTGTTGCATAAAATTAAAAAAAAAAAATGTTAATGTGTGTGCAGACACTAGAATGCCAAATGCTGAAATTTCAATTCTGATTCGATAATAAACACAAATGTTATTAAAGTGAAATTTTCTCGAATTGGGGATGATGATCTACAGTCGACCCCTTTTGAAGCTGGCTACTGGGTATCTCCTAGTCGACCAGTAGCTTCTAGAAAAATTGTTGCTGTTGCAATTAGAGAATTTACGGAGGGGATAAGAAACAGAAGCACTACCAGCACATTTGAAACTGGGTACAGGGTATCTGCTAGTCGCCCAGTACCTTCTAAAACAATTACAGTTGCAATTAGAGAGCTTACGAATGGCAAACAAGACACTGGCGTGAAGCTTTCCGAGCTGCGGTTGCATCGATTGTAATTGAAATAGGATGAGGATCGCGCGAACTACTCATTAGAAATATAAACACAAATAAATATATACACGATACCACAGCATATATGGGCTAATGGGTCGATCGGCGTGCGATACGGGCTTGCGGTTTGGCACAATTACGTGAATGAATTGTGTCGCAGACGCCTCCAACACACAGCACAGAGCACGACTCAATTAAATAGTAGCCGCGTTTCATTTAATTGGCCGTAATGCTGCCATCAAAAGACTCTTTTTCAAAAAGAGTTGAGCTCTATAATTATGAGTCGAGCGCCTGTGTGGGCGGCTGTCAGTCTGCCGAGAGGTAAACAATTCGAGGGATCTGTTGGTTTTTCTGCTTTATGTGTGGTTTGTTTGCTGCAGTTTAATGGATAAATTAACGATTCATTTGTTTACCAATCAAAACAATTGCAATGGCAGCTTTACGATTCAAATGAAGTGACAAGCGGAAAGTGTCGGGTTGTTATTTTGTTGTGCCTCAAAATGTTGCAAGGTTTCTATCCTTAACATATCCAAAATAAACTAAACTTTATAGCTCAGTAAAAGCACTTTAAAATTAGTTTACAAATTTGCTGTAAAATTAAAATAAATGGAAAAGAAGTTCTCAGAAATTCCGCTTGCGGTTGTTTTCACGCTTTTTCCGCTGGACTTGATGAAACACTTGTTACAATATCAACCAAATTTAGTGGCAATTTGTTGGCTTTGTTGTTGTGCAATTTATCTATTTAATAAGAGGGTTGTGTGGTTGAACCATTATTTTGGATTACGTCTATTCAATTGACTGCTTGGCAGTGGGTGTTGCAGAGCTGTAGTTGGACAACCCCACAACTGAACACAAGTTTTAAGTAGATAATAAATCTAAAATTGGTTACTTACTGCACCATAGATAAATACACATTAACGAATATCTATCTACATATCTCTGTATCTTAAGACGCCGAAATCAGCTGGAAAAAGCGTTTGAACTTACCTCTGGGCGGTGGGCCCGATTTGGGGGTTGTGTGCGTGCAGCAGGGTCTCCCGATTTTCGATACGGATCCAGTCGAACCGAAATTGGAGGGCGGCTTTATTTTTGTTGGTATCCCGGTCACGGAGGAGGCGGGCGTGGGTATATTTGATCGGCTGGGCGGCTTTATTTTAGCCGCCATGACAGGCGTTTCCGTTTCTGCTGCCGGAGTTATTTCCGCTGCTGCATTCACATTTATTTCCTTTGATGTTGTTTCACTCATTTTGCACTTATTTAGTTGATTTTTTTTTAACTTTTATGAGACACACGCGTATTAAAATGTAAAACGATATCAAAGCTGGCTATGTAAAACTGCCAGAAATGTGTAGAAAATGAATTAAAGTGGCTTGAACGCTGCTTACTTACCTTCTTCGAATTGGCTAGAACCAAAATATTGTATTTTTAATTTTCATATATTTTTCTCAGTACGTGGACACACTGTGCGGCCAAGTGACGTTTTGGCGCGCACACAGGCTATCTCGCTCGCACGCTCGACGGCTTGCGCGTCAACACAGCCAACAGCTGATTGATGCTGATTTTTTTCTTTTTTTTTCACCTTGAAAAACAAACAAAATAACCGCTGCTTTTGATTCTCGGTTTCGGTGTGACCGCCTTTTTCGTTATAATTTGAAATATGCGGAACCGATGCTGCCAGCTCGTTGACACCTTGAATTAATTATGTATACTTCTCACAGAGACGTTCACTTACACTGAGGCACACGCGCACACACATACACATATGGACCATTTATTGAATCAAATGCTTGTTGGGGTTGTTGTATGATCACACGGATGTGCACAGGGGATTGAGAACATAAACGGTTTGTTGTTGTTGCCACCGTTTTGCTTGACACAGATTCGGACGCGACGACGTAGCCAACGACGGGCGTTGATAAGATAACGTTGCACAATGCACCGCAGTTAACGAAGACGTTGGTATACGACACGCGTTTACATTTATTTAATTTTCAATTAATTTACTTAGAAATTTTTTCGCACACTTTCGGTGTTGGTTTTAATAATTTTTTGGCTGCGTTGGAATTTTTGTTGTTGCACTAGTGATGGTAAGAAGTCGCTGCAATGTTTCTATCGATAAATGTCAACATATCGATATAAAGGCTAAGGTCCGCTAACTGACAGAAATGGTATATTATTAAAATAAATTTAAATTGCATTTGCGCAAATGGTTACTTTTACTTTTTGTTGTACAGACTAATCGGTCGACAAACGATACAATTTCGACGCTGCTAAAATACCACGATGTGGTATTAACTGGATTTCGGTAAATTTGTGCTTAGCACATTTGGTCACACTGCTTGACGGACGCTTCAGTATTTTTTTTAATTTCGTGGCGTGCGTTTGATCTTAGCCGCTGTTCCGCTTGATTTTTGGGTGTTTTTGTGTTTGTGCGAGAGCGCGCGTGTGTGCGTGCGTGAAAAGAAAGAAGCCGCAGAGGAAAATCCGATTCTTGGAAATCTTATCAATGAGTTTTTAGGTGCTGCCACAGTTAGAAAATGCCAACGCATTCAACAAATCTTGCACATTTGTAGCCTGCTGCTGTTGTTGTTGTCGGCGCGTCTGTCGTTTGTTATTACTGCTACCACGCCCACACTCACAGACACACAGGCGCGCGCACACACACACACACACACACACAGCATGGCAGCCACGGTGTATAAACGCCTACACAGCGCCAGCATTGGCGGCGGCGGCGTCGGCAGCAGCCTCATCGCTTCCACAACTTCACCCGGCACCATGGGCGGCTCCTCGCCCATGCTGGGCCACTCGCAGCTGACGCGCTCGCTGGAGCGCATCCTCGAGGAAGCGCACTTAAGCGGGGAGCTGATACTGACCAATCGCAAGCTGAAGGACTTTCCCAAAACGGGCACCAAATACAGTCTTACGGATACCGTTATTGCAGGTGCGTATTCAACATTTAATGCCCCACCCCCTTTAACACTTAGTGCCTGTCACCTATGCTGGGCGCGGCTGCCATTCACATTTATGCTAAAATCTCCTTTTGTTCCGCTTGAAAATCAATAATTTGCAGCAGCCCGCCGCATGTTCGACCGCTCTCTCTCTTTCGTTCTCTCTATACTCATCTCCCTCTCTCTGTGTCTTGCTCCCTTCGCTTGCCTTGCCAAGGGTCCTGTCCATCTGCAGTCGTTTTATGTCTTTTTATTGCATTCGCACGCACTTGCTCTCCGCTGCTCGCCACTCTCTTTCGCTCCTTCTCTCTCTCTCTCTCTGTCTCTCTCTCTCAGTCTCTCCTACAAGGACAGTAATTATTGCAGCTGTTTTTTGAGTTTCGCCGTTTTTTCCCATTTGCTGCATTCTGCACTATTCGCATTTCGGGTGGGTTTTTTCTCTGTCTGTTTCAAGTTCAGCTAACTTTCATTTTTGTTGTGCCCAAAAATGCACTCAATACACACAGGCACATTCACACACACACACACGCACACACCCACCCAACTAACTACCCCGAGGAGCGAACCATCTGTTTTAATAAGTGAACAGCCTGTCGACTTTTTCCTTTGCCCATCTTTGTTTCACTTTTCTTTGATAAAGTTGTAGAAAGGTCTTAAAAATATAAATTAAATTCAGCGTAGCAAAAAAAAAAAAAAACAATTGTTGCAATATTATAAATAGTTATAATAGATAAATAGATCATGTCTATCAAGGATTAGTTCTTGGAACACTTTTTATGTTCAAGAACTTAACTCAATTATTTCTCAAGCGTATGAGAGGATCACGAATCACAAGCAAGGCGATTGGAAATGCCAAATAAAAAAACTGGAGGCTTTTAAATGTTAAATGTTGTTTTAAAGCCTTCCGGTGAGACAAGAACTCGGTAGTTATATGAACTGCAGGAAACGTTTAACAGAAATTGTAATTGAATTGAATATGATATAAGAGTCTCTATTTCCCGGTTCAAGTATCGATTCGTGGTCTTTGTTTTCAATAAATAAATAAACGCTTCGGTTGAACTTTCTTGAGTTTTGCTTCCGGCATTTTCCAATTAAGTTTCGTTTGTGGTTCGATGCCTTTTGCCAACTTCACGATTGACTCATCGCTTTGTGTGTGTGTGTGTGTGCGTGTGCGTAGGCGTGACTAATTAGCAATTTAAATCATTGGCCCCTTTTGGTGTGAACAACATCATAAGATCTACCCCTTCCATTTCCCCTCCCGCCCTTATTGTGTGAAGACACACCATTAAGTTCTTTTGTTGTTCAAATATTTATGAAAATGTTGTGCCAATAAAGGTGAAGAAGAAGCAGAAGAGCAACCCCACATTGAAGGGAGAAAAACTGGCGAAAGGTGGCAACATCATTTGTGCTAACCACCGGCTCAGACCGGGCGGGTTTCGAATAACCACTTGGAACTAAGAAATCAATGAGAGGCATTAGGAATTTTTTTTTCTTGGTTTTCCTTTCTTTCCTTTTCATTTCTTTTGCCAGCAACCCTCAAGGATGTCAGAGTGGAGAGGAAGGGAGAGGAAGGGGTTATCGTAGGTGGCAACGCTTCCTCAAAACCATTTGTTGTTGTGGTCTAGACTCTAGTCGCCCATGAACCCCCCCTCTCCCCATGCAAAAGTCATTTCGTTTTCACTGCAAGCGCAGCACGTGATTAAGTTGAATGTCACGTAAATCAAACAACGAACAATAAACGTAGAAAATAAACAAATGCAACTGCAAAGCAGAGAAACTCAACTGGGCGACGTGCAGGAAATTGCTTAAAATAATTGCGAGCTGCAAAAGAAAGAAAATAAATATTTGCAGCAGCTGCATGAAATGCAGCAGACAAAGGCAGCAGAAGTTGAGCAAAAAGGAGCATATAAAAAGGTAGCAAAAAAGGAGCTGAAAAAAGGGAAGCTGATAAAGGTAGCTGAAGATAGAGAAGCTGAGGTACAAAACGTATTTAAAACATTTAAGCATTGCAATAGAAACAGAGCAGACAAAGGCAGCTGTTGACGTTAGAAGAAAAGATGAGAGAAATATAGCAGAGGATTGAAGTGCAGCAGATTTAGGTAGTAGACACGACGCTGGCAGCTGCGCAGTGTGCACTGCAATTGAAGCTGCTGCCAGTGTTGCTGTGCATGCACAAAAGGTCCCCAACTGAACAAGAAATAAAGTTGTTGTTGGCAAACTAAACAATTTTATAACCGAAGGGCGAGCAGAGAGACAACTGTCGTTTGTTGTGTGTGTGTGTGTGTGTCTGTCATAGTTCCCGTTGTCGTTGTTGTTGTAATGTGTAATGTGTAAATCTGAAGCCAACAGCTTTGTATCTTTTTATTATTATTTGTTGCTCCAAACACTCAGCTAGAACTCGCACCAGAGGAAGCGACGCTGTCGGATGCGGACGGTCGGACTAGGCACGTCGCGTACGCTCAGTGGTTGTTAAACTGTGCTGCGTGCTTTGCATGCGCGACAAATGGGAAGCGCTGCGCAACTAGAGATGACACATTGTGTCGATCGTAGTGCGTGATTGATATGAGAAAAGTATTTCAAGTGCACGCTGCTCACGAATAATGCAAAATATTGTATGTGAAGAAAAATTCTCTCAATGCATTTATTATTAGATATTTTTGTTGCCTCTCTTGGCAGTATTAATAAATGCGCGAAAAATGAATATTCTTTTAGCTGAATTTCATAGTCTTTCTATAGATAAATCTTTGAAAAAATCATGAAATTGAGGCCAGTCGGCTGCAAACTTGACACAGAAACGAGCATTCATTGAGTGTATCTATTAATTCAGAATTGTAAGCAATATTTAATGGCTCCACGATGTGTGGCAGGGGCAATTCTGAGGCATAAACAATTTACGTTCTTAATTGGTGAGCGTAGCACGCGCTCACCAACACAAGCACAAAACGCCCCGGCACAAGAACTATGTTTATGCGCTGCAAATCGTGGTATACCAATATCGCGTGTGTGTTAAGTCTTTGGGCTTGACATTAAAGAATACTTGGAAAGTGGGCTGAGATTGAAATATTATAAAAACTATGTTAAAAACTATTCCTTTTTTATTTTAAGTTTTCTCTTGTTATTGAACCAAAATATCATTTATCTTCGATAATTGGGAATTATTCCCCTCTTTCTATTATATTTTCTAAATTTGCTTAGAGTTTTCAGTGTACTTTATTTAAGATAAGATAGACACAAGAAAAAACACGAAATGTGCGAACGATTTAGGCTTACATATAGGTTTGTCTGTTAAAGTATATTTAATTTATAGATTTGACATTGCGATAAGCGTTTTTCAACAATTAATCATCGTGTAAACATTGCATCGACAATAACAGCTTAACTGGACAACAGCTACTGGAACAGCAGCTGCTATCAGCTTACAACAACTGCAAATAAATTAAGGGCAATAGCCACAGCAACAACAACAACAACAACAACAAAAACAAAAAAGGCAACAACAGCATCAAATTAAACACACACGCCAGACATTTGCTAGCCGTTGTGTTTCTAGTGTGTGTGTGTGTGTGTATGCGCATGTGTGTGTATAAGAAAAACTATGCTCTTGCAGTTGAAAAATGCTGCCTCAGCTGAACGGGTACTCGCTTAAAAAAAAGGAAAACTCATCAACAGCAACAGCAAAAATTCAAAATGTGTACGCTTCATATGTTTCAATATTTATTTTATTAGTTGTTTACTGTTGGCAAACAGAAAGTGATTGTTGTTGTTGTTGTTGTTTATCTTTAAGTTTACGATGTGACCAAATGTGAAATACTCGCGAAATTGCAGAGCATTAAACAAACACAACTGTGCTTGGGTATGTGTGCGTGTCTGTGCGTGTCTGTGTGTGTGTGTCCGTGTGTATTGAGTGCCTGTTAAGTGCCGTTAAGGGGGTGAGGGTGTGGGTGCAGGAGGCAGTGGAGCGGTCTGCACTTTCCACATGAAATCGAACCAATCGAAGCAGCAAACTTCGATGCGATTTCATCATTAGACACACATCAAACGGGAATTATAATTGCTGTTGCAGTTGTTGTTGTTGCTGTTTTGATTGGAGGATAGTGTGGAAGATTGATTGAAGAGGGCAAACCATATGGAAACTGTTTAGTTGTTTGTATTCCCAGCTGCGTATTTACAAATCGCGGGTTTCTCAGCGATAAGCAAACGAGTCCAAAGTGTGGGAATCATCGTTTGAGTATAGCAAAAGCACTTTATTAATAGATTTGAAAACATGTCAGTTATGTAGAGCTAGGCCTCCTTCAAGAATGCTGAATATTTAACAGGTTTGGAGTCGGGTTCATATATAAGTAGTTCAGTCTTTGCAGTCTTGAATTAAATGTGAACTGGTTCCATACACGTTAGGTTCCGAGTCCCTTTCATATAAAAGTAGTTCAGCCTGTGCAGCATATAAACATGAATCACATATGAACCGGTACCATGCACGATTCGATTTTGGTTCTTTCAAGAATTTTTCAGATGAAACACTTTTATAAGCCTTCTTTTAGAGAGACAATTAATTTCATATTTTCTACTTTGGCACCAAATTTTATTTTATTTCTGGATCATTCGTAAGTCAACTTCAAACTGGTTCCGTGCATCTAAACATGCATCACATATGAACCGGTTCCATAAACGATTAGCTTTTTGAGGTTAACTACACTAAGTCCTCGCATATTAGATTGTGCTTTTATTCCATAAAAAGTCTGATTACTCAGTGTGACCATATTTATAGTAGGCATAAAATGCAAACTTCCAGCCCAACATTACACCGTAAAAGTCTCTCAGAGGAAAACTCGTATGCTTTGCCCATTTATTCCATTGTGAATCATAATTCGAAGCGTGTGCCCAACATCATCATCATGATGATTGTCGGCGAAAGGCAGCAATAAAATTGAGTAAATTAATTTCAATAAATCCATCAATAGAAACCCCGCGCTGCCGGAATTGCCAGCCACGAGTGGCAAACGGTTCCATATTAGACTTGGAGCCCAGCTCCCCCAAATGTGAGTCCATGGGTTGTTCTCTTGTCTGGAATGTGGCGCCATCAATTTAATTTTTTGTTGCTTCCGTTGACGCCCTGCAACGTAGACAGTTGCACCCTTATTTTATGATTTATTCTATGGCCAATTTTTGGGAGTAGATTCTGGAATATTTATGCGCTGTGCTGCAGGTGTGCGACATATTCTGCCAATTTTCTATTTTGTTGTCGCCAAAATAAAAGCAAGTCTTTTAATTTTTATTTTTGCTGTTTTTTGTCTGTGTATCGCAATTTGTTTTGGCCAACAGCCAAGTGACCAGGTGGCGGGTGGCAGGTTCCCGGCTCGCCCCAGTTAGCCTATCGCGGATGCTGCGCGGGAAATATGCGTGGATCCAATTTCCGCATGTTGCGGCGGATTTCATAAGCTCAGCTGATGATGTCATTTGCCTGTCCTTGGCACATCCTGTTGCCAGGCAAAGTTTATTCAACCGACTCTGGCTGAATGTGGGTGCAACAAAGTGCATCACGAGCGTCTGCCTTTTGTGCATTTGTATTCAGCGCGGGGGCCCGGAAGGGGCAGGGAATGTAGAAGATTACACTTATGTGAAGCCATAGCGAGAACCTACCCAAGCCGCGCCATAAGTGCTGCCTTTCTGTTGCTCCCAAAGGGGGGGACGAGGAGAGGTGCAATTGGCCTATAAACAACGTAGGTTGGGGAGCCACTGGCTGTGCGTAAATCAACAACAACAACAACAACAACAACGACAACCAGTAAAATGGCATCGTTTGTCGTCAGCCAGTTTTAGCGTTGAGTTTTACTGAGTACTTAAAAGTGGCTGATGGATTCGCATTTCTGGTTTTTTTCTTTTACAACTCTCGCAAATGCCCTGAGAAGGCTTTATCACGATTTAAGAAACATTTAAGGATAACATAAGTAAGTATTCTCAACAACCAGTGTTGAGCAACTGTGGTTACAGCTACGAGCTGCAGTCTTTGTACTAGTTTGGAGAAGCTTTTAAATTTCAATTTCTAACTTTCACAACATGGTTTAATAAGCACTTGAGGTTTTCATTAAATTAAATATGGGGCTTCTAATATAACAAATACTTAAAACCTCGCTTAAAATGTCGGTTAAGTTTTTCAACTTATGATATCATTGTTTTAATGACAGCTCTTAGATTTTTAATGGGCTGCACGAACAAGTTTAAAAGGTCACGCATTGGACTTCACGCACTTGAACATAGAGTTAACCAACACTGAAGTCGAATTTTAGACTTTAAATAATAGTATAATGTTTATAGGCGAACCATTAAAAGCAATAGATGTATTATATAAAATAATTTCCCACTAAAATAAACAAAAGTCTGGTCAATATTTGGCCAGGAAATTATTTGTCCGTAATGCACTTTACAACACTGGCATAACTATATTTCATGCGGCTGCACCTACACATTCTCCAATCTGGGCACATAGCATAGCTTCAAAACCCCAAACTACGCCCACTCGAAAGCCTAACGCACAATTTCGTGTGTACAATAAATTTGGTTGTTTGCCTTTTTTACTATCTGGCCGGACCCCATTGTCTTCCATGCCAGCCCTCCCCTCGACCCACGTTGCTCGACGAGCTGCGCCTGTTGTTTGCGCTCTCATTTTGCATGCAAATTCATTTAGTAAATTAATTGCCCATTCCACGGCACTTTCCCACTGTGGCCAGAATCGGGCTGCGGGCAAATTGTAAATTGCCGGCACATTGAGGTCATGCGCTCCAGTGTGGCGTGATAAGGCAAACAACTCCTCCTCCCCTCCTTCTCATGCACCCTAAAATAAACTACACGGAGGAGGGAGTCGCATCTCCTGCCTGGTCTCCCCAATAATAAATGTCTTTCCCCCTGGTTGTCATTTACAGATCTGTCTCGAAATAGATTCTGTGAGCTGCCCGAGGAGATCACAACGTTTGCGTTTCTGGAGACGCTGATGCTCTACCACAATGCGATACGCAGCATACCGGAATCCGTGAAACAGCTCTCCTCGCTGACGTATCTGGATCTGCGCAGCAATCAGCTGGGCTCACTGCCGCGTGAGATCTGCTTCCTGCCGCTGCAAGTGCTCCTGGTCTCCCACAATCGGCTGGCCGCGTTGCCCGACGAGCTGGGCCGCTTGGATCAGACGCTGACCGATCTGGATGCCTCCTACAATCAGCTGGCCGCGCTGCCCGTTCGTCTCGGCGAGCTGCGCACCCTGCGCTCCCTTTCGCTGCGCAGCAACCAGTTGCTGTATCTGCCGCGCGAGGTCACCTGCCTGAGCCTCGTCTCGCTAGACGTGAGCAACAATCGTATCGCCAGCCTGCCCCAGGAGATACGACACATGAGCACATTGGTGGAACTGCAGCTGGAGAATAATCCACTCACCTCGCCGCCGGCAAGCGTAAGTGCACAAGAGAATTACTGTCTATATGTTAACTATATGAACTGATTAGATAGGATATCAATTCCATATTTGTTTATATTTCAACTCAGCTGCCCCTGCTATTGTCACAATCACAACTTTTAAGTAATATTAATGGTCTATATATAGTTATATATAGAATTGAAATCTACCCTTCTTGTTCTGCACTTTTATTCAAAACATTTATTAAGTGCAGCGAATAAAGAACTAAATTTTGGAATCAGAAATTTCAAAGGCTTCCTAATTTCCCCAGTTGCGGGTGCAATTCGCCAAACAAATCTTTGTATATTTTACCGAGTTAAAGTGTAAAACATGTCTCAAGTGATTTTTCATATAAATCTTTGGAAATGACTTTGACCGCGAAACATCACCCGAAAAATCTCTGACCCCGATTTCCAGCAAGGAGAAAATACTCCTCAAATTAATTTGAAAAAAAAAAAAATAAATAAAGGTAAACAAAAAAGTTGAATACAAATGTTTTTCGCAATTTTACCACACTTGCGGGTGAGATTTTCCGATTACGATTACCTTCATCACCTAAGGCAACCACAGTGCAAAATTTCAGCCTTCTAGTTCTTACGGCTTGGGCTGTGTGTTGGACACCAATTAGTCAGTGAGTCAGTCAGGACAAATAGTTTTATGTATAAAGATAAGACTGTGTACATACCATAATTCATGTTCTTTGGTGTACTTTCAGCTCTGTATGCGCGGCCTGGTGCACGTGTTCAAGTTTCTGGAGACGCAGGCGACCAAGGAGGAGAAGGGTGCTCGAGCAGGCGGCAATTATGATGGGTACACGACGCTGCGACGTGCACCGCGTCACAATTCCAGCGGCAACATGTTGGAAACGACGACCAGCCAACGGCATGCCGGACGCCATCAGATCGACTCCGGCTACAGCACCAGCGATGGGCTGGACAAGCGCTGGTCCCACGATGCGCCCGGCAAGTCCAAGACGGACTCGCCGCTACACTGTGCGACGCTGCCGCGCACGCTGCCCTCTGCGGGCAGCGGTCAGCCACAGTCGCAGCAGCAGCAGCTAAGCGCGGATCTGATGGATGCATCGCTTACCTCCAGCACCAGCACGATTGTGGACGAGAGTCTGACGCTGAGTGCGGGCGTTTCGCCCATGGCCTCGCCCTGCAAGCGATCCACTTCGTCCGCTACGGAGCACATCAGCTATGTGCACTCGAACAGCTCCAGCAATGGCTCGTCGCCGGACCAGGACGATGATCTGATGCTGGACCATCAGGAGCGCAGCGTAAACGGCAGCAATGGCAAGCTGAACAAAAGTCTCAGCAACATACAGACCTACAAGTGAGCCACAGATTCCAGAGTATCCAAGAGTGTCAACCATTTAATCCATATTTGTCTAACTTCGGCAGGGAGTACAAGGACGCGCTGAAGCAACAGCGCAATCAGGAGATTAGCAGCGTCTACAAGCAGAGGCATCCCAATGCCAATTCCAGTCCCAACGAGGAGGAGCTGCCGCGCCTATCCAACGGCCAATCGGCCACGGCCACCGCCACGCTGCCAAAGTCCATCATGAAACAGCCCAGCAGCAACGGCCACAACGGCAACGGGAATGGCATTGACGATGTTGTGATACCAAAGAAACCCATACAGAAGGTGATTCCATCACGCAACACAGAGCTGATGTCATCGCTGGCATTGAAGTCGTCGCCCCCAACCTCATCCATAGACCCAAATGAGGCCAATTGTGCGGGCTATGTGAAGCCCCACAGTCCCATGAAGAATGGCCTTGGAGTGCTCACCAACAGCAACAGCAACAGTAACAACAACGGCTGCACCGCCAAATTTAGCACTTCCAATGGTGGTGCCACCGGCAGCTCCACCGGGCTGGTTAAGTCGCCCGTGAGCGCCACTAGCAAACTGGGCAATGTGAAGACGCATCGCAGTGTTACTTGGAATCATGATATACCTGCCGAGAAGCTGAGCTTCACCATGCGACGCGAGTTCGATCGTCAGCGCGAGGAGACGGAGCTCATGTCCCAGCTGCGTAGCGTGAGTGCTGGATTTGGTTTGAATGAATCTTTGCTCAGCTGTTTATTTTTGTTTGCAGATCATTGAAACACGCCTGAAGATGACGCTCCCTGAGGATATCGCATCGGCACTCACAGACGGCGTCATACTCTGCCATTTGGCCAACTATGTGCGTCCGCGGTCTGTGGCCAGCATCCATGTGCCGTCGCCCGGTGTGGTGAGTGTTGCGGCTGAACTCCAGTAGAAACAAAGGCAATGTGGTACACAGCACAGAGATCTCTTAAGAAATCAATCCTTAGGATTAGCTATTTTGTATTAGGCTATAGATATTCCGTTTATATTTCCAGCTGTATTCCGTTTGCCAGCGCGGCATATTTTCAATCGAAAACTGTCTGTTAATTTTTTGAGAAAGTATAAAGTTATATAAGATGAAGTTTGGTTCATTGCAAAGATAATTAGAAGTAGGTCAAGTAATTTATTTAATACTGGTTACGGCGACATTACCCTGTTTTAATTATTTTATTCGCTGGCTCGTGTTTTGGGTTTATTAATATAAAATAGGGAAACAATTTAATTTAATATTTTTCTTCCAATATATTTCAATTAATTATTTTACACGTCTTTTTAAACTGAAATATATTGGATGAAGAATATTATATTAATTTTGTTATATGTATTTTATTTTAATAGAGCCGAACCTCGAGTCAGCCAATAAAATAATTTATTTATTTAAGGTACAAAAAGTGCTTAGATTAAAAATGAGGTTCAGTTCATTGTTGAGAGAATTGGCAATACGGCTGCAAATCAGTTTAGTTTGCAACTTCAAGAAAGAAAATAATAGAAAATCTAAATCTAATTGGTTAACTAAAGATCAGAATCTGTAGCTTCTCACGTGCCACATTGTTTTGTTTAACCCGCCAAATGGAAATATGTAAATAATGAGATATATAAATAATGTGACTTTTTTCTGCAGAACAAATTGTCAATGGCGCGCTGTCGACGCAATGTGGACAACTTCTTGGAGGCCTGTCGTCGCATTGGCGTGGATGAGGTGCGTATTGCAACCCATTTTTTACAGTCCTATTTCTAAGTTAGACAACAGTTGATAACTAGCTTAATTGTCGGTTGTGGGGCAAGTAAAATGCTTAATGCGCTTAACGCTTTGCCGCTTTGTAGTCAGAGACAGTCTTTTGTCAAAATACCTACCCTCACACCTACCCCCTACCCACCTACACACACACACACGCACACCATACACATACTTTTGAAATATGATGCATAAAATCTGTTATTGGTGTTGGTTGCAGGAGTTGATTTGCTCCTGTGCAGATGTTGTGCCACAGCAACAAAGCGAACATCCACGCGCGGATGACGACTATGACGCTGATGTGTATGTCGCTGATAAAGACAACAGCAACAGTTGCAGCGGCAGCAGCAGCAGCAGCAGCAACAACAATAACATTGATACAAATGCTGGCCGCAAGCGCTGGCAAGTGCCAAACGCAGTCGCCCTGCTGCGCACTGTGGCCGCTTTGATTGCCCTGGATGCGAATCCACATCATCAGCATATGCGCTACCTGCAACAGCAGGAAGAGTTGCAGCTGAAGCTGCAGCAGCTGCAACAGCATCAAGAGCAATTAACTGCACATAACTCCTGCACCAAACAGCCAGTACAGATGTTGCAGCAACAAAAACAACAACAACAGCAGCTAGATAATGTATTATATGAGAATTGTGAGTTTGGGAATGGCAAGGAAGCGCATATGTCTGATGATGCAACAGCAACATGCATGCTCTACGAGCCACTGCAGCAGCAGCAGCAGCAGCAGCAGCAACTGGGTGCAATGGGTCAGCTGCTGCGCACGGCCAAGCTGAAGACCTACGAGAAGATCAAGCACAATCTGTTGAGCGCACACGGCCAGCACAGTTTTCAATTGAACAACAACAATCGCACGCTGCAAACGATAATCGAAAGCGAACACGATGTAGCCGCCGCTGGACCGGCTGGTCACTATCATCTAATCGACGAGAAGCAACAGCAGCAGCTACGGGAGCAGCAGAAGGAGGAGAAGGAAAAGGAACAACCGACAGTTAAGCCGCTCGCCAAGCGAATTGAGTTCTTCGAGCAGCAGCCCAAACTGGAGGTCTTTAGCATCTATCGCATAGATGAGCCGCAGCTGCAGCAGGCGCCGCACAAGCTGGAGCAGCTGAAGCAACACGAAGCTGGCCCTTTGTTGCTCAAGCACGACTCCCACACGCTGACGATCATCCTGTCGTGCGTGTTCATAGCCACATTCCTGTGGCTGGTCTTCTTTCCGTTGCCCGGTTAGCAATGGCACGTCCCCTCCCTGCAGCTTCTACCGCCTTTACGTATTGCCAATAGTTTTAAGATGGAGCTCACGCAGCTTTCATGGCGCTTGTACTAATTTATTTGAATTATTGAGGCTGCTTTTACGTTTAGTGCTACCAAGTATTATGCTAAAATCTAGATGTAAAACCCTAAAAACCCAAAGACTTTGTAGTGCAACACATATTGAGGGTATTCCCCCAAATTGTATTTGCTCTCATGTGAGATTTATACACACATTCTTGACTATATACCACACACACACACTTATGTACAATTCATCGCAAATAACATTTTCATTTTATATTTTGAAAAAAACAACATAGCATAAAATAGCTATACCTATTCCTAATGCAACGAAAAAAACACTTGAATTGCGTTCCGATTGTTAGTTGAACTAAGTAGAAAGTAGATACAAGATATAAGGACAAAATGACCAGTTACCAGTGCTGTAAAGGACACGATTAGCAGTTACCAGTGCTGTAAAGGACAATGAAAGGTTTAGATTTACATATGGGTTGTTGTTATTGACCAATGGGTCGGCTGGGACTAACAAGTAGGCGATGCAGGGACACAAAATAGTTATAGAAAATAGCGCGAAATAGTTATAAATTATATCTAAAAACTCCAAAAGAGATCAACAAACTATATATACTATATACTCGAGCGCACAACACTTGAACAATCAATTTTCAACGCACACAGTTCTCATCAAAAAAAATATATGACAAAAATAGTGCCTTTGACTGTACAGTTTAGACAGTCTGAATCAGCTATATATCTTTATATATATAGTACACATCTTCAAGCAATATTTCTCGATTTCGTTGCCAAGACTTTCGAACAATTGAAAACATAATTTGTATTTTATGTGTGCAACTTACTGAGCGCTTTTTCTTCCAATGACTATAATTGTATTATTTATATAACTATAAATTTGAAAAAAAAAACTATATATTCCATTCCTAACTATATCATATAATTTAATTTAAATTTATATATGCTTATATAATGCAAATAAGTACTTAACGAATTCTCGATGAAAAGCTAATCAAATTTCTAAAAGAAAAACACAACTGGAAAACTTACATAGTTATGTATAATTGATCCAAGTACTTAAAAAAAAGATAACTTGTATACACATATTAAAATATTTTGTCTAACAAAAAAGAGAAACATATAAACATTCAGGCTGCTATAAGAAATGCATAAGAATATAAATTTAATTATAGTCATTAATTTTTATAAACGACCTTTGACAAAGACAAGCTATTTATGCTCTATATATACTAAGAAAATTATGAAAAACAATCAAAAATATAAAAAAATGATATATTTATGAGTCGCCGTAACATTTAAAGCCAAACCAACAAGCATTTATTATAGAAAGTTGCACAGTGGAGCAAAACTTCCAATATTTTGAGTCATTTATTCTTGAAACCAAACAAAAACTAATGCATTTATTGTAAGCATTTAGGAGAACTATGCGAAAATGATCCAAGAAATATATATAATAATACATCCATATAAACAATAAGCATTTGAAAACTAGTTTTTATTGCCACAGTTTGATGGCGACTGTTGCGTAGCCGAGACACGCACCCAGTGTCACAGTGACCTTCAAACTTTGGCGCAAGAGCAAAGCAGAATTGAATTGTAAAGCTTATATTCTATCGCTGATATTTGTTTGTACGTTTTACTCTATTAAATTAATCTTGTTAACTTATTTTCACACAGAATCTAATTTGCTGCGCTGCCGATGTGCTCGAGGGCAAAGGTGCCGTCCAGGTGTCCATCACGGTGGGTGAACTCTTCCGGCTGCATGGCAGCGGCCTGGTCTGTGGCGGCAGTGGCAGCAGCAGCGGCGCAGCCACGCCCACAAAATCACCGACCAGAACAACACGTGCCACATTGTCGCCCACGCCCCTAGTCTAGTGGTAGGAGGAGGAGGAGGAGGAGTTTCTTTTGATGCTGAGACACGTGCAGCAAATGGATAATACTTTTGGAGCAACTATTTGATGAACACACGCGGGTTTCCTGACAGAATTTGAAAGTTGGCCGCCTTTTTGTTGTATTTGTAGCCAAGTTAGTTTAGATATGATGCGTGCACATTATGTCAAATGCTTTGTTAGTTTATTTATTTATGTAAATACACACAACATAAACAAAACACGCAATGAAACCAAAAAGCACACTCATACATACACACACACACACACACACACATACCAACGAATTTGAGTTAGTCACAAAGAAAAGTATTTATTAAATTTGTCATTTGAATTCTGCATACACACAGTTGTATATTATTAGTTTGTAAACTGGCAAAAGGTTTACCCATATGTATTCCAAACTGTTTGCCATTTGTTTCTGTTATATATCTATTGCTGTTTGGCCAAAATTTGAATAGCGTACTAAATGAATACTGTTTTAAGTATGAATCAATCAGTCTATATATACATACATAAATTACATGCATACATATAAATAATTTGTCATATATCTAAATATATGCATATATGACTTATTTTATAATATTATGATTATGTAGCTTAGTTCTAACGATAGCTGTGCTCACTTTTCTACACTTTATACGAAGCGAATTATGCACTAAACTGTAAGTCTTCGAATATATCAAATAAAATGGAAATTGTCATACGTATGCTTCCCGATGCTCTGCTGTTTGCCAAAGGCTTCAAGATGTGCGCACACATGTGCCCCAAGCTAGAAGCCCTCCCTGCAATAACAAACTCGTGCAGTCGCAATTTGCCAAGCACTTTTTTCGTTGTTACCAAAAGCTAACATTTTCTTTGCTGACTCTTGCCGGGGATTTTCATTTTTCGCATTTTACGACAGGCCTACGACATTTGCCCGCCCGCCAAATTGCAACACGTTGCCAGCTGCGGATCGAGAATATAAAAAAAAAAACACAACTTTGCTTCCACATAGTTTGAAAATTTGCATAATGCGCAAAGCAAGCAATTGATGAAGGTTATTCTTACTAAGCGGAAAACATAGCAAATACATAATTGGAAATTAAAGAAAATGTTTAACTTGTGTGTTAAGAAATTTTCGACTTTTTCGATTATCAGCCTAACTACTTCGAGAGTAAATAAAATAAAGTTGTTGTATGGAAAACTTTTATGTTTTTCTAGATATCTTGACCTAACTTGGCATTTATAAGTTTCACCATGTTTCCTACACTTATGCATAATTTTATTTACATCGAACTAATATGTTATATAGCTGCCATAGGAGGATTAAGTCTAAAATTAAGTTGCATGAAAACGTTTTGTTTTTAAGATATCTTAACCATACCCGACATCAGCTATGTTCCCTGTGCTTTTTAGCATTATGAGCGTTTTGAAAATATTTCGTACGATTTTTAAAGTCTACCAATTCGAGCGCTTTGAATGATTCTAAATTAACTGCCTGGTGGCCACAATTCAAATCGAAGCAATTTGGCAAAACTTTTATTCCCTGCTTTTGCTGCTGCTTTCACTGTGTTCATAGAAAATTGAAATTGAAAGTGATTCGTAATAATCGAAATCAAACACTCGCAAAAGTCATTCAAATAAGAATGCACTGCCCAAAGTCCAACTGATTGCGTCAGGTGCCAGTCGATAGTCGGTGGGGTTGAAGGGAGAGCTTAAAGACGCACGAAACCTTCATAAAATAGTTGCAAAAAATATTTTCCAATGAAAACAATGCATTCCAATTTTTTCTCTTTTTTTTTTTTGTACAAAAAACACAGTTTGAGTGGCAAAGGCAAAACGAAAAGCAACCAATTTGATATTCGCATTGAATTTGAATTAATAGGATTAGAGGAATGGCTGTTGATGGCTGCTCGATGACTTTGGCAACTAAATTAAAGTGCTTTTTACCATAAAATTAAACGCAAATAATGATTTACCAAGAGTAAGTGTTTGTGTGTGCGTGTGTGTATGTGTGTGGGCCATGCCAAAGAAGCGGTTGGCTCTTTTTTGAAATAGGAGCATCTGATTAGTCTGATGTGGCAGCTAAAAAATATTGCGGCATATACAGCAGCATTTTAATTATCGCAATTCCCCAGGGCGTAGTTCAACTAATTGCCCTTACCTCGACCCCACCCCTCTCCCCCTAGACACAGTCAACCAGGTCCGACACGCGCTACAATTAAACTATGCCCGAGCAAAGGACCAAAAGACAAAGCACCCCAAGTAAGAACACTTAATTTAGGTTTGCTGTACGTAAAGATACCCTATGGTTTCAACTTATAAGTTGGCTGTGCTGAACCTAAAGATACTCTCTACATAGTTTCAACTTATAGCAGCTTCTTAATGCTTAGTACCTAACTTCCGTTTGGGGAACCTAAAGATACCGACTAAATAGTTTAGAATCAGACAAGTCTTGATAAATTCTGCTATCGAGGTGTCAAAAATATACTTATATGATTAATAAAAAATTTAATAATAAATTACCTAACCTCCTCGAAAATAGCTCATTTATCCAGTTATTTACTTCTACAGTGCATTATACTCTCTTTTATTACTTTAATGGCTACAGGGCATAAAAACCACACACAGGCTTATCGGGCAGGCAATGCCAGAAGCTGTTGTCTTTTCAGCAGGGGGTGGGGAGAAGTGGTTGCCCCTTATAACAAGGCAAGTGCAATTTGTGGCCAAGAAAAAAAGGGGGGCGGGGCATGTTCGCCCATCAGCTGACAGAAATTACGCATTCCGTGCGAAATGTATGTACGAGATAATCATTTTAATAAATTTCAGTGTGACAAATGAGTTGGTTACTCGGATTGGCCGCTTTGCCTGACGCTTCTTGCCATTTGGCCCATTCGGCTTGTTGGCCTGAATTATTAATAAGCCATTGCCATTGCCTGTGGCGGGGCCAACTACACGAACTGTCTAATTGATGACTGCCTCAAAGTACCTAGTTTAGGTACTAAGTCGCAATTGGGCGTAGTTTATGTGTCACCAGCGTTTAGTTTATAGGGCGTAGCTCTATTATGGCGTGTTTCGGGTGACTAATGCCAAATGGAATGTGGCAGATATATTGGCTAAAGTTTGTCACCTGTCTGCGGTTAGTTAATTAAAACAGAACACTTACGACTTGTTTGATCCAAGTGCATCGCAAAACATGTCTGCTAAGTGAGGTAATTTTTATAGATATTCTTAAGTGTATACACATTTTATAGAATTAATAGAGTTCTGCAAGCACAAGCGGAAGGCATAAAAATAATTGTTTAGAGCAACATTTTTGATCATCTTATTAAATGCAATCCTTTTAATGTAGACAAAATATTTGCATAGAGCCGTTTGGGGTAGCTTTTCAAATGTTATTCTATTCAAAATATATGAAAATTTTATTTAATTTGGCCAAAGCCGTTGTGCAAATTCCCTAGCACATTCTTTTCCATTGCCGTCAGTTTTATTGCCCGGGCCGTGCCCCGCCCAGCGCCGTGCCGCCCTCAAATTTGTAAAAGTTTCTGCCGCTTACTGAAACTCATTTGAATGCATTTTCGTAATGAAGATGAATTTGGAGATTGTGTATTTTTCCAGTTCGCGGCACATTTTTTGGAAAATTGTTTGGCCAAAGTTTGAGTTTCTGTTTTAACTTGGCTTCGGTCGCCCCAAGCCAGTCAATACTGTACATTGTACGGAGACTGAACTGTGCTCTTTAAAGCATATTTAATATGCGGCAGACATTCTAAAACACGTATCAGATTTCAGAGCTGAAGAGAACTTTCATTGCGCTAAATGAGTTTCAGCTGCAAAATTAAAAACTTTATCAGTGTGAAGGCAAAAAAAAAGCTTTCACACGTGTGTTGAAATATATCTATATGTGAGTGTGTATCTGTGTGTGTCTGTGAAAAAACTTGAAACTTTTTCATGAAGTTAAAGCAAAGTAAAATCAAATTATTGTGGTTGGGCTCAGCTCGGCCCCGTTGCCTGCCGGGCCCGACTGGCAAAAGGATTACGCCGTACCCTTTGCTGGAATTCCTGTTGCCCCACCGCTTGCTACCTGTAACTTGTCGCCGTTGCATCCGCGGGCTGGAAGGGAAGCAGAAGGGAGGGCAGGACGGAGGCAGACAGTTAGAGCCCAGCTCGTTCGCTCGCATGAAGTTGCCACATTCTAATTGAATTTTCACTTTTTTTCCCCACACCCTGTTGCAGGCTAGGTGCCCGGAGCCGGGCACACACGTCGGCTACGTGTTGGCGCGACGCGGCACAAAAATTGCAATAATTATTTTTAATCTTAAGTACGACTTTCGCGTAATGAGATTTGGATTATCTGCACAGCCCTGCCTCACACACACACACACACACATAAAGATCCGCACACCTAACGAGCAAACCCCCAAATTTACGTGCAACGCCTCGCATAAAAAATCTCTCAGAAAAGTTTCGGCGGCTAAATTATGCAGACTCTGCAATTGGGGTGCGTGTACGAATTTTGAAAAGGATTTAATGCGCCGGGCTTTTGTGTATTACAGTTTAGCTGGGTTCATACTCGAATATCAGAGGTGAATCTTTATAAATAATTTTCATTTCGTATATATTTGACGTCGCAGACAAATGCCATTAACAAAATTAAAGAGATACTAAAGAATACGGCTCGAGCCCATTTATATTTAACCCAAGTGTCGAAGCTTAAAATAAACCAGTCGGCCAAGACCAGAAAATAACCATTTCTTTTATAAATTTAAATGTATGAAAGGATCGGCCAGGAGCATAAAAAGCTTGAGGCCTAACCTTTCGATTTATCGAAACATACTTGGTCAATGCCAAGTTCAGGTTAAGATCTAATCTAGCCTGCAAGTTCTATTTGAAAATATCTACAGCTTGCAATATTTTCAGTAGAGCAGGCCCCTATATATATAAATATCTCTATATAAAAAACTATTTGTCCTGACTGACTGGCTGATTGGTGATCAGTGTATAGCTCAAAAACATTATTCTTCTTCCTCAAATATCCTATATAAACACAGGCCAAACTTCCCACTCCCATAACTCGGTCAAAACTTAGCCGATTTTTATAAAGTTTGGCTTTTTCGTAATGATTTGGCCTTTAGATCAATTTGGCATATAAACCTGGAATGCTTGATTTTTGGTCGAAATTCATGTGAGTGTACCCTTAAATCCTATATAGACATTAACATGCATGCAAACATGCATGCAAACATGCTTGCAAACATGCATTCAAACATGCATGCAAACATGCATGCAAACATGCATTCAAACATGCTTGCAAACATGCATGCAAACATGTATGCACACATGCTTGCAAACATGCATGCAAACATGCAAGCATACATGCAACATGCATATAAGCAAACAGGCATACTTGCATGCATACATACATGCATACATGTATGCATGCATGCATGCATACATACATACATACATGCTACATACCGATCCGCCTTCTCCTGCTCCACCGCCTCAAGTTGCTCCTCCACCGGTCGTTGGAGCCAACGCTTTCTGCCTTGTTGAATTTCAGCAGGGTCTACTTAAATTTTTGAGAATCGAGGAGGAGAGCACTTAATAGAAATTCGTTTTATTCAAATTTGCAGCACAGCCACAAACAATTTTGGTCTACGTTAGGTATTAAAAAATATATGTTCACAAATGCATACATACATAATTGCAAACACTAACACACACACGTTCACACACAC